GTTTTGTTTTGTTTTGTTTTTCTTAAAAAAAAACAAACAACCTCAGCCAAATAAATCAAGGTCAAAAGTAAATGAAGAACTCATGATGACATCAGTTCCGTTTGTCTAAGTCCCAGTGTTGTGTGGATGAACAGGTCGTGAGTTCCCCACCATGTTGACATGTCTCCATCTCTCAGCCATCCTTAAAGAAGATCATATACGGGGTCACACCAGCCTCACGGTAGTCCAGCAGAGCAACCATGCCATCTGGATTCATGTTCTCACCAAGAAAGAAGTGATCGTTTTTGAAATTTGCAAGGATGTGCTTGATTTGTTCTGCAGCCCCTGTCATAAAAGACGTTACTCTTTCTGGTTTCTGCTCTTCAAGTTTGCCTTTGATTGATTTCATGTCGTCTTTGATGTCCTCGTATGCTTCTTCGGTGAAGCTGGTCTCCTGCAAGTGATGTTCATGACAGTATCAACACCGGTGACCACTGTGCTTTCTGTCCCATCACCATTGGGGCCTTCAGCTGAGGCATTGCCACCAATGACGAGTCATCGATGTTACCTTCGGTCCTACGGACCATCTTCCCCTCCACTTCCAGACACAGCCCGTCTGCAATCTCCCGGATCTTGTAGATGTCGGAGAACGTCTCGTCATGGCTGATGAGGTCCCGGGAGATGATCATGATGGCAGCTAGAGGGAGACAGTGGCGGCAGTAGCTTAGGAGGAGCCCAGACCTCTGAGCCAGCGTGGTACGGTCAGGGGAAGTGGGGAGCAAGTGGGGAGCGGGTGGAAAGGGCCCTGTCCGACCATTTCTTAAAGGTCTTCTGTATAAACCTGCATCCATCAACAATACAAAGTTCGTAGTTCGTTTTTATTATTTCTCTAGGTAGGTCCACACTGCTGACAGGCTTGGACTTGTAGACTTATTTTTACTTAGCCTATTTTTCTTATATAAATTTTTCATACCAATCAGAGAAACATGTCTAACACATAAGTAAATTACAAGTCCTAGTCCTGAGCTCTATGCCCCTGAACACAGCCCCACACACACACACACACACAAAGAAGGAGAGCCTCACAAGTTGAACCATGTGCCTTCTGCGCCCTGTTCCTCCCATCTCAGAATCCAGTCTCCTGAACTCCTCTCTCATTCTTTTTTGTTCCCTTTTGTTTTTTAATTTTAACTTTTATTGACATAATTTACATATCATACAATTCAGTGGTTTAAACATATTTAAAAGAGTTGTAAATTCATCACCATAATCTGCATTAGAACTTTATCTTCTTCCTTGCATTCATTGTTAATAGCTCCCATTT